TTGTTGCACAAAATCATATTTCAAAGAATCATATAGATGTGCTTTCATAAAATTTTCTTCACCAATATCACGTATCATGTCCTCTAGATTATCATTCATCCCTTCATCAAAATTGTCTGTAATTGACACAGTTGGGATGTCTAATATTTCTCTATGCCATGTCCATATGGTATAACTCTTAATAATACCATAAACAAATAAGTGATCACGTATATCCTCAAGTTTATGACGAATTTGATTCAAACAACGAACACATGGACAATAATATGTCCCTTTCATAGCTTTTCCATTTTCACTAGCAAATTTCAAAAATTCTTCAACTCCCTTTTCGTACTCTTCACTAATACGATGTGCATTCATTCAACTTCGATTCATATTATGTTATAAAGTTTCGTCACTCCTAGAGATTTAAAAATTATATGTAAAAAGAAATTAATATACAAACAACAAAGCACATAAATGGAGTGTGTAAACCGAAAATGCACTCAAACAAATAAACAAATAATTACATTCCAATAACAATCCAGTGTAGACATTCATACAATAACGTGATTGAGATCCCCAAAAACAATCACGGATTCAATTTAAACATATAGCAATGACATAGAACACTAACCTCGAGTGTAGACGAAAAATGATTTCAAACTCGAATCCAATCGAGGAGAAATATTAAGTTCGTAAAATGACACACAATGTTGATATTTTTCACTGTCAAACTGATTGAAAATGGTGTACAGAAGTAGCTGTTGTCGTCGTTCTCGTCGTCGTTCTCAAAAACCCTTCGCTGCGAGACGAGAGAGTGGGTCCGGGGGAATAAAGACATTTTTACGTCGCGCACCCCAAGACACGACGTAAAAGCACTATTTTACGTCGCACTTGGGTGGCGCGATGTAAAAGAAGGTTTTTCACGTCGCGCCACCCAGGTGCGACGTAAAAGAGGCTTTTTACCTCATCTTCTAGGATGTGCGACGTAAACGTTTTGTCTCTTATTTACAAAATTGTCACCGCGTTTTGTTTACATCAAATACTTTTACATGCGATGACAATTGGGTGATGTAGAAGCTTTTTTTTACTATTATATAATAATCTTATTTAATGGTCTCGTTTCTCTTGTTTATACGAGAGAAAAGTATTCATTGATTTTAACTATTTTTAAGTCTTATATTAATTCATATAATTTATTAAATTTTATATGAGTAAAATTTTGTATTTTTCAAGAATAAAAAATTAAAGAACCGTTGTGGCAATTTTTATCCGTTATTAGATTAAACTTCTTTTTTCATTCACGGTCAGTGAAAAACCATAAAAAAAGATAGCACAAAATACTTTTATATATATATATTAAAAAAAAACTAAGAGTCTTATTTTGGCATTATGAGCTGGTACTAAAGCACTGTTAAGATAACACATTTAAAAAGCAAAATATTAATAATGTCTGTTTTTTATTGGTTTGTCTGACCAATCTGAAACACGACAAGACGCACCAGCAATCTAACAGGTACGTGGGACAAACTGTGCACCAAGATCTGCATTGACCACTTAGTGGAAAATCAGATAATTTCGCACTCCCATAACATGTTCTTCTACATCATTCGTTTTACATTCAATGTTACAACTTTTTTTTTACACTACTTACCACGTAATCATCCTCTCTCTCTCTCTCTCTCTCTCTCTGGTTTTATCTTCTCATTTTTCAAGAGTGAGCGTAGTCAAAGTATAATTATCAATATTGACAAATTTATATGCACATGTTGGATTTGCACATTGATGAGAATGAAATTGTCATCAAAGCATAAAAACATTCTAGACTCTTTTTTTTTTCTTTTATCAACTTCTTGATCAATAAAGAAGAAGGGACAACCAAACCAGACACTGCACTATTTGAATTTTAGCCATTCTTAAATTCTTCATTCTATTATAATTCTGATAAGTCAGGTAAGAATCTAATTGAGCAAGTCAAAATAGCTTTCATTTCATACCCTCCATTCACTGTTTTCTTTCTTTTATTTTTCTTTCTCTTCTGATATTAACCTAGGGTGCAATAGTGACTAATGTGTAGTGGCTTATAATAATTTTTTCATAGTTATACTATCACACGCAAAATTGTCATTAATTATCTATTAGTTGAAGTTGAAGCATTAATTTATGTTACTAAAAGTGAATTATATATAAAACAAAATTTATAATATGGATTCTTTTTAGATAAGATAATTAAATATGTTGATTACAGTTTTAGAAATTAAATTAAACATTATTTTAAATGTATGGCACAAAAAACCCAAAAATTTAACTTCCAAAAAGGTCCCACCGAGATTTGAACTCGGGTTACTGGATTCAGAGTCCAATGTCCTAACCACTAGACCATGGGACCATTTGCATTATAAATAATAAATATTTAAATGATATTCCTTGTTGCAAAAATAAATAAATTAATTTTTTAGATCTATCACTCAAAATTATGCAAGTAATATTCTCTAAACAGTTTTGTCTTTAAACTCATCAATCAATGACTATAATTTGTGTATATGCAATTTTGATGTACTTTGAAATAGATTAAAAAAATGAGTTTACCTACCTATGGGCTACGATGTTTATTTGCTAAATTAATTATCAATTTTCATTGCTGCTGATTCACTGAGGATCATTTGTTTGAAATTTCATTTTAAAATTATGAATTTATGATGAATATGTGTGAGTTCTTTTAACAAATATATTAAAAACGTTATTTTATTATTTTATTAAAAAAATGCTAATGTATAGGAAATTTCACACACACAAAAAACTTGTACATTAATTTTTTTAAAATCAAGGAAATAGATATTAAAAACTATTAATATATAATTAAATATTAATAATAATATAATTTTTTTGTACGTATTAAATACTATATAAATTATTATGGTAATAATACATAACAGTCCCTTTTTTTATTTCTTTTGATACAGTTTTTTTTATTTATTTTGATAAACTTTAATTAATGGTAGAATTCAATTTAAACATAAAAGCACACTAGAAATAGTGAATCATAATGATCGGCATCAGTACATAATTCTACTTCCACCATTGCTTAAAAAGGGGTGAGGGTATATGATTAAGCATTAAACTGATCAATAACTTTACACTAAGTTTAAAGGATTGAAATTTCAAAATTTCAAAATACAGTTGAATTTTCTAGTTAAACATAAAAAAGAAAGAAATAAATGAAGTTAATTTGTCTTACTTAGTGGGCGGATAATAAGAGAGATTGACTTATGTTAACAACAACACCTAATGACATCATCGTGATTTGGAGAGTAATTAAATTGTTATAGTCATATCTTTCAAATTTAAGTATAAGTTTGACCTATTAACTTAAGTTTAACTTTACTAAAAGCAAAGACTTTTATTATTATTATTATTATTATTATTATTATTATTATTATTATTATTATTATTATTAATACCTGAAATAGGTCAATACAATATACTTATTTTATAGGAGAGTTGGGCAAAGAATATAAAACTTCAAGATATTATCTAAAAGGAAAAAAAAATTGCTATATATAATATGACAGACACGTTATTGCAATCATTTAAGTTAGATGCCCATCATGCCTAAAATTAATGTTATTATCAATTAATAAATATGCTAGAGATGTTATTTTACCATTTTTCTTGGAACAAACCAATCTACGAAAAATATTCAAAAAATATAATTATAAAATGTATTTTGTAAACTTAAACTAACAAATCTTGCATAATCAACAATACACAATCAAATCACTTTTACACTAGTGATCTAACAAATAGTAGTATTTTACACTAACAATATATTAATTTTTAACTTCTATTTTTGTATTTTCATTATTGAAGAGGAATAATCAATAACCTATCGTAATGAATATGTTTAGCTTCTTAACTTTTTTTAGATATAATAACAATAATGAAAAGGGAATCTATCTCGTTCCATTTTTTTCAAGTGGGTTATGGGTCCTGAAATTAACTCTGCCTTTAAACGTAAAACTAAACCAAGTAAGTCCATATTTCTTGTCTAAATTCAATGTTATCGGATGTGTAAATCATCTGCATATAATTGTCCAATCCGACTTACTTTTTAATTTATTAAATGAATATAAATTTAAAACATTATAGTAAAAATACTAATAACAACAATAACATATATTTAAATAAGTTCTATTATCCTGATGAAAGTTATTCAGTAATGAAAATTATTTTAGTAGTCCGAAATACAAGTATAAGATCGTCTCTAAGCAGAGAGACGTAAGAATATAAAACTTAATCTGATGAGATTTTTGAGATTTTTCTTTATTTTATGCTAAATGAGATTTTTTTTTCTTTTACTTTTGGCGGCAGACATATTTTTATATTTATATTATTATTTATTTTTGAAAAAGGATTGGGTGTAATTGTGGGTACATGTCGGACAGGAGGAATAAAATGGAGTTGAAGGTGAAAGAAGACGACGACAGCGGTGGAGGAGTAGAAATAAAAAAAAAAAAAAAAAAAAAAAAAAAAAAAAACAAGAGATGGGACTAGAGTTAATCTTAAATACATAAAAAGCTAAATTAAATTAAAAAACAAAAACTAAACTAAATAAAACCTATAAGATAAATGATCATTTAATATAATTTAGTCTAAAAAAAATAAAACATACGAAAGGGCAAGAAAGATTGCAAAAGGAAAAAGATGTTATCTATCTGTCTATACTATTTACAATGAGCACAACAACTTCTATGTTTCTTTCTATGCTACTACTGTGGACAACCTATACAAATGTTAATGACTAAACCAAAATTTCAAGTTAAAAAATTGAATCATCTCTCCAACTATAATGACAATTCATATAATCTTCAAGTCAAGTGTCAACAGAGACCATGTTAGAAAATTTTCAGCGCCCTGTCTTCTGCTGCCACCAAAAACCAACCGACTGAGGCCTTCTCCAAGTCAAAAAATCACCAATCCAAACAATTAAAATTATATCTGTATGAATATACGTCTAATCACATCATGAACAAGTATTTTAGATCATCCACTGTAAGGCGACTTTGACGACCACCAGTTCCATCCTCGCCAAAGGCAGATGCAACCATTTTTCGCTTTTTTTGCTGCAAGTATATATATAGAGAGAGAGAGAGAAGAAAGCACAGACTTTCTAGCGTCAACGACCGCCGGTATAAATTGTGTAGCCCAGATACAAGACAGATAAATATTTTTAAAAGTACAGAGCGTTATTAAAAGGTAAATACTAGTTGTGCACGGGCACAAAGTTGCATACTTTTTCAAGTAACAAGCATGATTCTCTGTAAACAACAGTATTTTGTTTATGAATACTATATATATATACACACACACAAGAACATACAACGTATAATATGCATCCATTAATAAAATAAAATCAACTAAATAAATAAACTAATGTAGCCTTTATAACAACCATAATACAAGTAAGACTATTCCAAACGAGTATTCTTTCTCTTATATGCCAATAATTTATTTTCACATCAAATATATGTTAACTCAAAAGACATGTCGTCGAAGCGCCCATCTGAAAGAACGTGTTATATGCATAAAAGCATACTACTGTAAAATGAATATTCAGCAAACACAACCCAGAAACAAAGGGAATCAAAAAAGGGCTATGCAATTCTAGTAGTTTAAACCAAAAATCACCAACTCACTTTATGAATTCATTATTAACTGAGCAGTTTATTATATGTGCAATTGTCCATCGAAAGTTCAGTAGTATTCTGAACTCCTTTCAAGAACTTGTTTTTATTAAATTTTATCTTAAAAAGAAATGTTTTAAAGTTGAGAAACCAACCAGATCGACATTATCAATTATGTTACTATTAACTTATAAAACAGTACACTTCCCTAATTACCAACAAGTCAACAACAATATAAAACATTTTTCTTGGCCAAATTTCTACTTTTATGCAAAAAACATGTTTACAAGGCAGCCAAAAGAAAATACCTGTAGAGCTAAAATACGGTCCTCAACTGTATCTCTAACAGTTAACCGCAAGACTGTGACTGGACGAGTCTGTCCGATACGATGTGCTCTGTCTATAGCCTGATCTTCAGTTGTAGGATTCCACCAAAGATCTAGCATAAGAACATGGCAGGCAGCAACCATATTCAGACCAAGACTAGCAGCCTTCAAAGACATAATCATAACTGAAACCTGGAAGACAATAATATATCATACTTAACAATTATATTCAAGACAGAAATAGAACCAAATAAATATCACTAAATGTATCTCACTAATAATATTCAAAAAAGCAACCAAAGCCATTTCCCACTGAGTGGGCTTGAATATTTTACAACCTCAGGGAGAGTGTTAAAATCTTTAACAGCTTTATCCCTTGCAGTGACAGACATTGTTCCATCAAGTCTTCTATACTGGATCGAAGAATTCTTCAGACATGCTTCGAGTAAATCTAGCATCCTAGTCCACTGAGAAAACACTATAGCTTTCTCACCACCAACTGAATTATTAGAGCTTTTCTCTAACACATTTTGACTCTCAGGATATTCATTTAAGGATTTATTTTGGTCAGAACAAGATGCGGTGACAAGGCAATCAGTACTTTCCCCAAAACTGCTCTGCAGAGAATTGTTTTGGGAAGCACAGCACTGGGGTTTAGACAAAGACTGCAACACCTCAAGTGCAGCCTTAATTTTTGAAGAGTTGTATGGCTGACTCTGAGAACAAAATTCAGATTCATCCACTTCACAACCAGAGTAACCAGGCATATTATCACAAGCCTGATCAGAAAAAGAACTATTCAACGTGACTTTGGAGAAAACTGAAGACATGCTTAGTCGAATTTTACAGTTTGTAGCAGGGCACTGATTGTCATCACTAGTAAGATGTTCACAAATGCACTGGTTACAGAAAACATGACCACAAACTGAAACAACAGCATCTTCAGGAGGATCCTGCATAGAAACCAAGTAACAAGAATATTAGAGCCGAGAATTCAGGATAGGGAATAACACACTTTACTAAAAATATGGTCAATCATGATAATGGTACATTGGAAATTATAAAATACAATTCCACTACTGTAAGCGCCAAAAACTGATCAAGCAAGAGAACTTAAAAAAATAAATCTCATTCATCCTTTTTAGCTATCATTTAATCAAAAAGTAGTAAAATAAGTCTCCCTTATTTTCCCCAATCACAACTCCCCCTCCCCCCACACATCAATAATATAAGATCATTAAAAATTAAACAACTTAATTAAAATTAACAGAAGTATAAGATCATTTTAAGCATTGACATCAAAGTAATTACTAGAATATTGTGTTCTCTCAACAAATTGCAGTCACACTAATCAATATAACATCAATTTACAAATAAAAGAGTACAGTCAAAACATACATTACAGATGCCGCAGAGGGCCAAAGAAGCTTCTAAACAATTTAGAAGAGATAACCGCTTTTCCTCAGTAAGCTTCTTCGCCATCTCAACTGAAGATTTCCAGAGAGAGTTAGAATTGTAACGTTTGACAAGGAGAGGATGATCACATGCTTGTCTAAGACGCAAAAGCATCAACAAAATGTTAACATAGTTTTGCTTCACAGTTCCAGCATCAGCATATTCCTATGACAATGACGAGGAATTTGGTGAGGATTACCATTAAAATATACTACCCGGAACAATCCTCTTCATTCGGGACAGAGTAAAGGCATGACAACATTATTAAGAAAAAAACATATTTTCATTATTTGAATCCTTCAAGACCATTCAAAGATTAAGAGCAGGTCAAACCTGAAACTGTGCTCGGGAATCAGCCTCTAGTCTAGAATAGAAATCACGCTCTTCCTGTGAAAATTCCACTTTTTTCAACTCAACAGATTTAGGTGGCAAGGAAATGATAGGCTCCCCATCAAGAAGTGTGCCTACAGCAAATTACAACCATAGCAAGGTTATATAGAAATTTTACTTGAGGGATACCAACAATTATTATGACAAAGCTGCCAACAGTGCAACAAATCTGTAATTAGCTATGACTCAAACTTTTTTCTAAGGATATTCAAAGTGAAACATATTAGGCAGGAAAATAAAGATAATACTCTAGGATAGAGAAGACAAAATAAGGCATCTTAGCCTACTTAAGTGATGATGTGAATTTCTTGCATTCACGTTTACCTTTTGTGCGACGTAACATGATTGTTTTTAAGACAGCTTGTAGCTTTCTATATCCCTTTGATGGACTTTTGCTGATAGGGATCTTAATTGTAGAGCAGAATGATGTATACACAGCATAAGGGTCATATCTTAAAAATCTAAAGTAGCTATAGAGATCATCAATTGCATTCTGGATAGGAGTCCCTGATAAGCACCATCTACGCTTGGCTCTAAGACCCCAACAGGCCCTTGCAACTTGAGTTCTGTGGTTCTTGATACTCTGGGCCTCATCCAGGACAACTCTAAACCAAGCCACTTTTGCAAGAGGTCGAGCAACAGATTCAAGCATCACACCGTCCAATCCCTTCTTCTTACTTTTAGCACTAGGAGGGCATTTCCTTTTCTTACTGGATATTGCAGGATCATCATAAGTTCCTTTTTCTTCATCATCTTTGTCAACTAGAGGCTGCTTAGGGACCTCCATGCTGACAATTGAATAAGTCGTCAGAACAACATCATGCTTGGCAAGTTCATAAGGATCTTTTGTTCGATTGCTACCATGGTACACTAGCACAGAAAGATGTGCTTTGTCAGTTACCTTATTGTGCAACTCGTCATCCCATTGCCGCAAGACACTAGTTGGACAAACAATAAGGGTTCCTGCAGATGGCCTTCCCTTTACATGCAGTAACAAATTTGTGTTCTTATTTGGATTTCTGCTAGACAAATCCTGACCCATATTAGATTCGTTCTTCACTACACCACTCTCAGGAAGCTGATCATCATCTGCATCCAGATTCAAAGTTTCTAATTCACTTTTCTTTGCAATGTTGCATTTATTCAGCAATGGAGGTCTTTCCTTTAATATTAAAGCAATGGTCGATACTGTTTTCCCAAGACCCTACAAGAGAATAACATCTAAATTTTTCAAGAAATCATATAATTTGTTGACAATCAACTATCCTCTCAGAGTGATTAGGATTGTTGTACACTAACCTGATCATCTGCAAGAATTCCTCCAGAACAGTATAAACTTGAAGTTTCCTTCTGAACCATCCATGATAAAGCAATTCTCTGAAAAAGTAACTACTTTAGTTGGGTGACTCACATACAGAGTTAACAAATTATCAGGGCATCAAAGGCAACATTGGGTTGAAGTTAATAAATGAAGAGGATTATTTAGGGCTCAGAATAACAAAAAACATCGAACCACCTCCCAAAAGATTTTATACAGTTAACCAATAATTGATTCTTAGGCCTCCTACGGTTACTTTGTTCACTAAGACAGCAAGTGATGAAGGTGTACTGCATAAAACCTGCCGGGGAGGCAGAGAGAGGGAAAATATCTACAATATTTCTATATTCTGTTTTCTTGTTTTGTGAATGTGGAAATGAGTTCAAATTCTTGTGGTTATCCATATTTTCTGTAACAAAAATACCTAGTTTCAATCATTGATGCAAATTTGCAAGATAAATAAAAAAAAATATTGTTTTTGACTAGCAAATTTCAGATCGAGGCATTTCATTTTACATAAAAACATTTTTAAAGGAGATAAAAGACTCAAATATTGGAATGAGAGTTACCTGATGTCGTAAAAGAGGAACTGCAAGCAGTCCATCTGGTGGACTAACCTCTGATTTTGGTTGGGATAGATCCTATGCAATTAACAAAAGTTAGTTTATTTGAGTTTGAGAAACACGGGACAATAAGATATTATGATATGTCCTACAAACCATGGCAAAATTTGAAAATAGGAAGAACCAGGGAAGATGCAGGAACCATATAACACTTGATCAAAGTCTTTCAAACCCACCCAATAGAAAAAGTCACATCCTTTACAGAGGCCATGTAAGAACCAATTCTATCCCAAATATAACATTTTAAATTATACACGCATTACCATCTCCACCAAATTGCATCAATTCAAATACCTCCAATAAGTATTAAATGATATGATATGATGATATGAAATCATGCCTGACAGAAACAGAGTCAACTAAGTTCATGACTGCACATGCAAAGGGTACACAAAGGATAAAGTGTCAACCTGCAATGCAACTCGTAATATGTACTGCTCGTCACGCGCCTTGGGTCTCATACCTCCCACCATATGAGAATGAGTGTAACCACCTCTAAAAGATTGTGATGTATTAAGGGAATTCCCAAGCTCTGCTGATCTACTTATAGGTGCAGGGTGACTCATGTCTTCAATGATGCAAACATCATAATCATCCTCAACATTGGATCTGTCAATACTTCCTTTTGAAAGCTGAGAATCAATACTTCTATGCTCAATTGTTTTGCCTTCTTCTTCACTCATAACACAGTTATACCGCTTCCCACTGGCAATTGATGGCTGGACATTATACAAAGATTTGTCAAATGGTTTTAAATTTAAATTTCCCATATTTCCTGGAAAGTAATTGGCAGCTCCATCAATAGCAGATTGATAATATTTGGGTTTCTCAGTCGTTGAAAATGTAACACCATCCTCGCACTTGAATAAATCATTACCCAGAGATCCAACAACAGGGAAAGCACCAGATAGTTGTTTCATCTCTTGACCAACATTGAACTCAGCATCATCACTGTGAGCACAATTTTGGTAAGGTATAAACACTTCGTCTCGTTCTGCTTTGCCATTAAGTGATTGACCTTCAAGGGAAACATATGAAGCACAAGTTGAGTGTTGCACTGATGCACTGTCTTCAAATAGAGCATTACCAGGAAAAAATGATGCATATTTACTATCTGGGTACGTATATTGAGTATCTTGAAAAGATATTCCACCATTAATGATGGAATGCATGCCACCACTTGTATCAGTAAATAACTCCATTTTAGTAACCTTCATGTTCGTCATCATTCTTTCATTTTCCCACACGTTAGGATAAACACCATCAAACAAACAACCAGAAGTGTTGCCAACAACAGGTCTATCATCCATACTTTGGTAAATATTAAAAGATGGATAATAGTCACTAAAATCACTGGGAACATTGGAACCTTGGCAAATAGAAGAATCAGTTGAAGTTGCAACATGTGATGATCTATCAGCATCTGCAAACGACATTTCATATGATGTACAGGAGTCATTTTCCTGTTTACCAGAAGGTCCAATGCTGTCTTTCATATAGGCTTCATGATTGTCAAATTTTGCATCCATATTCTCATTGATAGAGTCGTGTGAAGCATCTGCAAGCATAAAATTTAATCAACCTGCTGCCCAAGAATTAAAGATTCAAGTATAACAGTGATCTATACAAATTTTTTGAAAGAATGAACAATCTGCCAATGTACTAGACTAATAATAACCCAGTGAAGATTACACATACATTCGGATTTTGCACCATATCCTACATGCTTGATTTGGCTATCATTTTCACACTTCCACATAGTCAGTTTCAAACCATCTCCGCATACAGCTACATTGCTTGAATTCACCTCTGGATCAGGAAACCTTGTGCCTGCAATATAAGCAGGCACCTCACAATTAGAAACTCCTGTCCTTTCTGTGAAGCAAAAATCATCACTTTCATGGTCCCTGTAACCACCAGCAAGAGCATTTGAGGAAGAGAAAGTCTGTGGTGAAGGTCCCTGGTTTTCATGTACACATTCAAGCACAGAATTCCCTGCAGAACCACAAACTGGTTAAGCCTCTGGTCTCAAAATCTAACCCATCTGATCAAAATTGAGAACAACCTATGACTGAAGTTACTAAAGTCAAATCTAAGAGAAGGGACACTTGAGATGCTAGTGAGTAGGCAAGAGAAACAGTCCAGAGTAAAATGTAAAATGTTAGCAAAGAAGGAGAGGAGATGACTAAAAAAGGCCATACAAGCTTACATACCATTTTGGAGAAGAAAATTATCATGGATGCCAGATTCACCGGGTGAAATATTTTTCAATGAAAAATCCTCAGGACTACTCTGCAGCATGACATCCACAAGATTAGAATAAAAGGTAATATCACACATGAATTCTAGTTATTTAAGAGGCAAATATTAGGTTTGAATGTAAACAATCATTTAAGATGTTTTCAAACATATCTAATTGAAAAGACCAAGAGGAAAATATATCAACAGATGTTATGACTTCTCAGTACCTATGAAATCGTTAAGGACCTTTTTGGAATGAGAATTAACACCAACATACCCATTCGGCATCACAAAAATGTAATTGAAAAAAAAAATGAGCGACACAGCACAAACTAGTTGTAAAATATCACACGTCCTTCACCATTACAACAACGAATTGAAAATGAAAGGTGCAGAAAAAATCATGACAACATTCTTTGTTCAAAGAAGAAGGATTCAAGGCTAACTGGATAAACCATACATGATCCCGACGAAGATTTTATGAATCATTGTCACTGACAACTATCGCAGATGATTCTACGGATGAGGGATTCAACAAAACATTCGTATTTTGCAGTGAACATAACTTAAAGAAGATAACTATACAGAAGCAAATTACACTGATAAACAAAAAATTTCTTTAAAGTGTGAGTTATGTTCTAAAAACACCACTTCTCAATATGCACACACCTTGGCATGAACTAATACTGTTACTGAAATCTTCGGACGCTGCACTACACAAGAAATTTCACAAACCCCAACGGGGAACCCAAGCGACATTTGAAAATAGTGAAATACTGGACCCCATCGAAAATTAACAGTGCAAGATGTTCCACATCTTATATATCAAACAATAAACCATACAGAAGGCTCCGAAGCATGAACATAAATATTTCAGCCAGTTGGTAAAGTTGAACAGTTGAATTCCAGTATTTCACTCTATCGGATCGTAATTCACAATAATTTTCAATCACAGCATTGAAAAATTGAAAGAGTTCGTTGGGGCGCACACACACACACTCGTTGCAAGCACTAAACTATACCTCGGAAGGATCGGTATCCTCGTCCAGAACGCTCATAACGGTTTCCAGATCGATGCAGAACTTATCGTCATCGGCGGCGTCCCCGTCACCATCCAAGAAGCACGAGTAACCGAATCCCTCATCCGCCATCATCGCCGAGAACCTAACGAGATCGATCGCATCAAAACCCTAACTCAGCTTTCTTTTAGAAGCCCTGGCCCCAAAAGGAAAACCTCCGGTGGCGAATCTCGGAATCGAAGAGCGAGGCTGGTCTCAATCCCATTCTAAAAGGGAGAGAGAGAGAGAGGCGTGACGCGCGGGTTCGTGAAGAATCAGCGGAGGTTTCTGAGAAGGTTCGTGATTCGACTTTTCTTCGTCACGTCGTGCTGTCGTAGGAGGAGAGAGAAATTGAGAGAGAGAGAGAAATGACAAAGTCGTTCGTGAATCATGGACGTAGGTTTAAATAGGGTTTGGGATGAGGAAAGGGTAGGGAGTGCGCACGTTAAGAAAGCATGCTGGCCTTATGATTGGGTTGTTATTCAAGTTATAGTGCGCGCGCGGACATGGAGAATCACCACACGTCACGTCTCTTGTACGACGCCGTATTCGTTTTCCTCAAACCTTTGCCCTTTGGCTTTCTCACACTGTCACTAGTGGTTGCTATGCTACTTCATTTTACTATTGTTTTGAGATTTGACCTGTGTGTGAGTTGTGTGTGAGTGAGGTATAGTACTCCACAACCTACTATTTTAAACAAATTATGCAAAATTTCAAAGCTTCAATTTATAGAATTATGATTGTTTTTTCACACGTCATTCTTCACATAAATCTTTTCGACATTAAATACGAACACTCAGCCACTATAGTTAATTTCCTTTTATTCACAAAGTACACACCGTAAGGTATGTAATAAATTTTTAACAGAAAATAAGGTATGTACCAAACCTAATCTCTTTTTTATTTGTGTCCTAGTCAAAACTCCACCTTTAATTCAATTATTTACTCTACTTCTAGGTTAAATTATTTTAAAAATTATTAAATAATATAATAAAATTTAAAATATAATTAAGTCTTGAGGCGTAAAATATGTTAGCTTGATATATTAAAGTATAAAGTATTTTTCAGATGGTTTGTTTTATTTTGTTTTTTAAAATTAAATAATCAAAAGTAAGTGATACTTGTCACCTCTGAAGTTTAGTGAAATTAGACCAAACCTTTTTGTAATATTTACAATAACGTCCATTATAGGAATATAAGGTATAATATTTTTTAAATAATTAAAAAAAAATTGATGTAATGATGTATGATAATGTTAGTGTAGTATTTATTTTTCAAGGAATGTAAACGTAGGTGTAGAAAAACAATAAGATTTTGTATAATTTTATAAATTTCCTAAAGTGTATTTTGATTGATGATCAATTCATATGAAATATAATAAAAGTACAAACAAGAGACATGGCATTGTATGTAATAATTATTTTATTAAATTGTTGAGAATAAAATAAAAAAATAAAACTTATTATTTTTAATCATAATATTAAAATCTAATTCTTTCAAACAATAATCTTCTTTTATTACGAAATAATTTAATATTATAATTTAATTTTACAAATTTATAAAAAAAATACAACTTTATTTTGAAAAACACATAAGAAAGTAATATACAACAAATAATAGTATATAATATTGGATATAAATTTTAAAATATTAAAACATAATATTCATATATTTAAAATGATAAAGTCTATTTAGTTAATTTTGAAAAATTTATAAATAAAGAACTGATTTTTTTATATATATGAAAACTTAAACTTTTATCTTATCTTAATTCTTTATTAACGATGTTTTATTGGATTTTAAATAGTTTAATTGAAGCTAAGAAATAAATAAAAAATTAAAACGATTATTTTTGTGATTAGGATTAAGTTTTCCTTTGCTTTAATATTTTTATAAAATTTTAAGTAAGTTAGAGAACAAAAATAAAAGATATACTAGATATTTAAACTAACTTTGATATTTATAAACTATATTATGTGAAAGTAGCGTGGGAAATCTTTAAAGTATTGTTTATTTGTATTTGTATTTTTTTTTTGAGGAATTGTCTTGTATTAGGAATAAGTAATACTTTAAATGAAGAAATATAATATGAAAAAATATATAGTAGTCAAAAATAAAAATAAGTTAAATACTGATTTAAATAATATAAAATGTTAAATTGGTATAAAATGCGTTTTGATTAGTATATAACATGTTGGATTAGTTGGTATAATATTTTGATATTAAAAATGGATTATTTTATTGAGTATTATTATATTTTTAGTCATTTTGTTTAAACGTTAAGTAACATATAAAATGGTATAAGAAGATACTAAAATAACATTGTTAAACAAATAATTGTCAATTAATCAAATCATAAATTAGCGTTTAAGAAAATATATTTTTACACGAATTGATACAAATATTTTGTTTATAAAATAATTTGATATTTAAATGAAAGATATTTAGAAAAGAGAAAATTGATTTTGTTTACATGTCAGATGCTCGAACAAACAAGTGGCATTTAATTAACGAATCATTCAGTGATGATTTACTCAAATGATAACTGTTTGAGGGAGTAAACCATTCAAACAACTACTTGAACACTTAAGAGAAATACCTAGAAATCTAAACTAATTGTTTATGTGTTGATCAAGTGATTAACAAAACCCTCAACTGATTTTATTTAAAGTGTTTATATTTTTTGAATTTTTTTTGTAAAATTGACATTTATCATTTTGATATTTTGTACTTATTTCAATATGTATAACTAAGATAAAATTATTTAAAGTATTTATATTTTTTGAATTCTTTTTGCAAAATTGACACTTATCATTTTTATATCTTGTGCTTATTTCAATATGCATAACTAAGATAAAATTGAATGTAATTCTTAGATCAATTATTTATATTTTATCTATTTCATCAAATACAATTGACAATCATAAACATTATAACATAATTACATTTAGAAAATGATAAAAATTATAGTCGTTTCTTATTATTATATGAGTTAATTGATGAAGAAAACATCATTCAACATCAATTTTTAAACAACCGATGTTGCCTCCATTTTCAACACTTCACTGAACCTTTTCTCTCACGCACACAAGAATTAATGACAAAAAGATATGAACCAAAATACCTGAATCTTAACCAACCTAGTTCTACTCCTCACTCTTGTTATGTCTTCCATTCAATCCAAGTGAGTGTGACTCCACTTGCACATACGCACTGATGAAAAAAAAAAAAGAGAGTCCCACACTAGAACCCCTATGTCACACAATACAAGCCCCCACCACTTTCGATGCCTATGATCACCACCACCATAAAACCACATCGTTGTTTAAGCACACTACTGTCGTCACCACCCACCACTCTAAGCGCCTTGTCCTTTAGGTCTTCTTGGAGTATATTGTGTGCCATGCCTCCATCAACCTCACATGGAGTTTTGACTCCATTATCTCCAGCTTCGTTGCGAGATTACCTACAAAATCTACTACATTATCCAGCGTTGAGGACTACATCAAGTACTAGAACGATGGGTCACCATAAAAAAAACAATTTATTTTATAAAAAAATATATTATATATTCAATATTATTAATTGAATTTATATTTAAAAAATAAGATTTATTTATTTTTTTAAATGAATTTATAATAAAAAAAGAGAGTATTATAAAATATAAAAATGATTAATTAATTTATAATAAAAAAATAATTATATTAATATTTCATATAATTTTATATTATATTATAAAAGGATAATTTGTTACAATAACAAAAAAAATTATTTACTATTTTTTAGTTAAAAAAATATTGTAAGGTATTTCTTTTATTTTAAATTTTGTTGTCTTATAAGACAACAAAATTTTAAAGCTAAAGAATAAAACGTTGTTATTTTTATATTATAGGCATGAAAATAAAAAATAAAAAATTAAATATAAAATTTACCATTTTTATGTTGTAAGATAAAATGGTAAAAGAAATAATATGAAAGTAAAAGAGTGTTAAAAAAACAAATTAAGTGTCTAATAAAAAAAAGTTTAAATGGGGAAATGAAAATGTGTGAGAATAAAGATAAAAATCTGAAAAAAAAAGAAAAAAAAAGTGGAAGGCATCTTTGTTTCTTACGTTGAAAAATATAAAATAGTAATTTATAATATCACGTCATTTTTTAACAATTCATTATTAATTTTACATCATTAGAAGTATTTTTGATAAATTTAAAAAAAAAATTCTCTTATTTTTTTATTTACTTATTTGTAAATTGTTTGATGAAACATCTACTAAAAAAATTTAAGTACATATTATATTATATAATTTTTGCAATGAAAAATTATTTCAAGTAGTTAATATTTTATTTAAGCATCTTAATATATTATTTATTATAAAAATTTAAGAAAAAAATATAAAAATTAAATATATATATATATATATATATATATATATATATATATATATTTATTGATTTGGAATGAAGTCGTGTTTTTGCTAATCTTCTAATAAGAGGGTCAAAGTGAGTTATTTTTTATTATTATTATAATTAAACGGTGATCTATTTTCTGGATAAATATATTTTGATTGAATATGATATGTAACTATGCTTTTTGTTCAAATATTAACATCAATTTTTAGAGAATTGACTGTGTTAAAATTTTCAATATCAATTTATTTATAATTAAAACTGAATCTTTTGAATTTAATACTTATAAAATTAATGTTAAATATTATTAATATAACAATGATTATTTTTATATTTTTTATTATTAAATAAGAAAAATATTTAAATATTTGTAAACAGAAACAATATTTTGATTTCAACACATTTATCAATACATATTTTATGGACATATTATTGAGACTTTTTTTTTTATATATAACATTCTGTTTCAAATATTTGTATCAATTAATATTTTAAAATATAAAAACAAAAAAAAATTATGTAAAGATTCAAACTTTGGATAAATATTCTAAATAATTAATAAATATAGATGATTATATATATATATATATATATATATATATATATATATATATATATATATATATATATATATATTCAAATCTATCTTCATGGAATGTGTTTAGTTGTGTTTTTATAACTTTTTAGGTAACTTTATTGCGATTTTGTGTTTGTATTTTTTTTCCTTTTCGTATTACAAAAAAATGAGAATTTACATGAGAGAAGTATTGATGAAAAGATAAAACATGAAAATAAGAATAATTGATTCCAATATTTTTTTGTCAGAATGTTTAAGTAAATTTTAAAAATTATCTTTATTTTTATATTAAAAATTATTTATTATAATATACGTATATAAATAAACATCATCTTATAAAAAAATATACGTTTAAACAGTAATTAAAATTTAAAGTGAAAAATTAAATAATATATATTAATTGGGCCTTTGTTCTGACAAAAGTTTAGAGCCAGCCCTGATATGAAAGCGAGTATAAACCGAACCGGATCCGAACCCAAAGCGAAGACGAAGCAAATATCTGTATATGTCGTTGAAAGAGAAGTCTAGAACCCTGTATTACGATTCAACTTCAAAGAAAGGGATCGCCGGCGGCTCCTTCCGAAGACGGAGATACACCTTCTGTCACCACTTTCCCGGAAATTAAAGAGCGACCACAATTTATTGGAAAATTATTTTGCGGTGAATTCACTTCCTGGTCTTAATTTTTTCCTCCTTTTTCTTGCGGATTTTGTTTTCCCCTTCCGTCCGTCGATAGGGTTTTGATGACTTCAGTGTTGTTTTTAAAGTTATTGATTGGAAGGATGTGGAAATTTGAAATGTGACTGTTTTTTATATTTTAATTGTTGATGCTGATCTACGACCTGCAGTTTCGCTGCCTTTGTTTGGATTTTCAGGTGACGGAGCTCGTGTGCCGTTTAGGGTTAAAAATGGGGTTTAAGTTGGTGCACTGATGTCATTGTTCTGGCTTGTGATTCGTCAACTTGCAGAAATCGAGGCTATGGTATTTGACTTTCTCTCTGTTGCTTTTTCTCTTTGCGGATAGTGGATACTTATTTAATTAGTTTAATCTTAAAGTCGGTGGTTCAAAGGATCTAAAATTTCTGGTCGTTTAAGAATTTTAGAACTTATTGATGCTTTGTTCTGCATTGCATTTCCACGTGACTGTAAAGAGTCTCAGAACTATTGTTCAGATTTATTCTGTTTTGTGGATTAGTTTATCCTACATTTTGCAAGCACCTCGTATAAACAGAAGTAGTGTGTTATCCTGAATCACTAAGCGTTAGCATTTGGATTGTTATTTCCTTGAAATGATGCGGGAGGAGATTAATTTAGGAAGCAAGGTCGTTGTTTTCTCATATATTCCTGCCGTACACAACAAAAAAGTAGAGGGAAATATGCCCATGTATATGGAGTTAATTTTAGTCTTTATGGACAAATCTGCATACTTCTTGGAAGTGAACTAACTCCAATATATGTCACTATGACAATTGGTTTTATCCGTGGAAATTACTGTGTGAAGGCTGCATCCAAGAAAATCATAACAAGAGACGAATGGGAGAAAAAGCTTAATGATGTGAAGATTAGAAAAGAAGACATGAATAAATTGGTAATGAATTTCCTTGTCACCGAAGGCTATGTTGAAGCTGCCGAGAAATTTCGAATGGAGTCTGGAACTGAACGTATCCTCTTTTGACTGATTTATTTGTTTCTCTATGTGTCTGAGTGGAAGAGATCGTATTCTTTATGAAGATATGATTATCCTTATTGATCCATAGCAGACATAGATCTTGCAACAATAACGGATCGCATGGCTGTTAAGAAGGCAGTACAAAGTGGTAATGTTGAGGATGCAATTGAAAAAGTGAATGACTTAAATCCAGAGGTAGGGTTTCCTTTATTTATTTATTTTTATAATACCTTCCCATTCCTTTTGCATCATAGTCTCCCTTTATTTGTAGTGTATATAATAGACATAATGCATGCATTATTCAAATTCTTAGGTTCTGGATAGCTAAAAGCACTGTTTTTGCACTGTATTCTCCGTGTAACAATGTCAATGGCAGATTATTTGTCTTATATAGTAAGTTTTTGTTTTATGCTTAAGTTTTTTATCAACATGACCCGCAGGAAGCTAAGCAGAGTTTGAACAGAACGTGATGCAGCCTCTTTTAGTTCGTTTTTATGCTAACTCATACCCAACTATCCTCACTTGCTTAGTACTACATGCTTAATATCACAAGTTGTAATTTGAATCATGCAATTTGCCAAGCTAGAAATTGTGACAAGTTGCATATGCCTTTGGATCACCTGATATATGAATGAATTTTGCAATTCAACCAATTCTACATCATGAGTACGATTCACATGATGCAGTGATACTTCCTCCCATCTTCAACTTTTTTTCCACCAATTCTCATCAATGAAATTCAAAAGTCAAGTTAGCTTAAATCCTGAAATAAAGGAGCACTATGAAATGCGCCCTATTTATTTATGAAAGGAGCACTATCCCGACACATGGTAGCAGAAATTTAAGTAATTTTCAGTGTTTTGAATCTGACGATTTGGCACATGATTCAAAAAAGCTTTTCATCTTGTGATTCCAATCACTGTTTGATATCCTGAACAAAGATACTGGGAATTGCATAAAAATAGTGTTACTATGTTCAATCTATATATTCTTTGCTCATAAGTTTTTTGATTTAGTTTCGGTTCTATATTTTCTGTTTTCTTCTTATTCCTTATGCTGTTTCTACATTTTTTTTAATTATTTCCTTTTTTGGTAGCCTTTAGAATTTAGAATTCTTATGTGAAAATTTATTAGGAAAATTATTATTTCATATGCAGATTTACTTGCTGAAAAACGCCTTTTTTGTATTCACTACTTTTTGTTGTCATTCTAAAAAGTTATAACTATTCTGACATGAGATCAAAATATATGACAATTTTGTACACCTCAGGGTTATCATTTGTTACTGGCTTTTTCATTTTGTTTTGTAATACTGTCTGCAGATACTGGACACAAATCCCCAATTATTTTTCCATCTTCAACAGCAACGATTGATAGAACTAATCCGGAATGGAAAAGTAGAAGAAGCCCTAGAGTTTGCCCAAGAGGAGCTTGCACCAAGGGGAGAGGAAAATGTAAAATTTCATCAAAATGAATTTTGGTATCTCTTTGTCATTTGAAATCATGAAAAATAAGTTAATTTTGGGTCATGTGCAATTTGGTCTCTGACATTAGAAAATGTATGATTCATTCCCAAGCCATGTTTAAAATGTGTGCAAAATAATCCTTCCTTGGTTAATTGATTTGCTTGAAATAAAATAATTCTAGCTAACTAGTGTCAGAAGGGTTGTCCTGTTTATTTAAAAATAGTTAGGAAGTGAAATACACCCTTTAAAACATTAAGGACTATATTGCATTTTTCCCTAAAATCTTTATTAGGTTTGGCCTTTTCATTAATGGTTATTTGTTTGTGTTTTCAATTTACCTTAATTGTTTTGTAGTTGAGAAATACATTAAAATGGGAAGGTAAATTGTTAGTGGAAAAATTTATGTAACTGGATACAGAGACTTGGTGCTAACACTTGCCTGTTGGATTTCAGCAAAGTTTTTTGGAAGAGTTGGAGAGAACTGTTGCACTGCTTGCCTTTGAAGATGTTTCTAACTGTCCTGTTGGAGATTTGCTTGACATATCACAGCGTTTGAAGACAGCAAGTGAGGTGAATGCAGCCATACTTACTAGTCAGAGCCATGAAAAAGGTTTGTTTTTGCTGCAAAAGTCTGTTTCTGTGTGTATATAACTTGTGTTTGCGTGTCTGGTTCTAAATCTAGTTTGCACGTGAATGTGTTCATTTTGTACATATGCATTCCTTCAGGTTTTTGTGATTGTGAACGAGATATAGGGTTTGTTGAACCAGCAATTATAAATATGGGAGTAAATATGCTGTTATCATATCGGCACCTAAATAAACCACAGTTTGTGCGAGTGCATGAACTGACTTCTCATGATTTATTTTATGCTTGAATTATGGGTTCAAACTTCTTCTAGAGTTTGGAAGTGAATAACTGTCTGAAATACTCATCTGCTTTCACAAATCTAAACCCAAAAGATTATTGAGGGAACTTACTGTTCATCTACTAGTATCAATCATTTTCTAGCTGGTTGCTTTCTTTTACATGCCATTGGCGAGGTCAAAATTATGTTTACATATGATCTATTACTTCCCTCTATGTACTTCATGGAAAGGTAGAATTTACAGGAATTTTTTATGGAGTTCAACTCCTGCATTTGATTGTGATTGGAATTCACTGAATGTGAAGGGCAATAGTATATTTTCTTATTTTGATTATTGCTGTATTTTTTTTCTTACAATTTCTAAATATAAAATAAATTTAGCAAAAATAATTTCATTCATTGTTAGCACATGGATAATAAAGTGCATGATGACAATGTGTTTTTACTGGGCTTGTTCCCAGCTGGCTCTCTCCTTGCACTAGTTTATATTTCTATTATGTTCCAGTGTTCCATTAAGATGCTTCATTATTTGAATTTCTCTAATGATATGCGCTAGAATTTGTTAACATTGATTGGTTTTTTGGGCAGACCCAAAACTTCCAAGTTTGCTGAAGATGCTGCTATGGGCCCAAAACCAGCTGGATGAGAAAGCTGCTTATCCTCGTATAAATGATTTATCCACCGCTATATTAGAAGATTCTGCTGTTTGAATACTTGTAGCATTTCAATTTCAAGTTGGGGATTTTAGGTTCTAGATGAGGATATTGCGGTCATTGGCATTAAAATTGTGTATGTACTTTAATCTAAAGATATTTACTGAAATCGATATCCATTTCCTCGTAGATAGTTCTTCCGGTGGTTTCATACTCCTGTACAAAAAGATTGTGAATACAGTCATCAATTCTTTTCTTAAATGACCGATAGTTATAGTTTTTTGTTGCATTATAAGTTGTGATGACGATGATGTTGGTATACAAGTTAGCCTAGTCTGCACCTATCATTATTTTCGATTATCGCAAACCGTTACAGAAATATTCACTTTGCAGCTCTGCTTCATTACTGAGAAACACACCTCTCTGGCAGAAGATGAAAACGCGTGAATGTTTTCTCCACATAGCAATTTAAAGTTGCTTCAGAACAGACTGCTATTTATTCTGATTCAGGGCTTGTTTCGGGTGCCGAGTTAATTCTTTTACTGTAAATATAGTTTTTAAAATAAAATATGTTTGATTAAAATGGAATTAAATTATTTTTAATTCAAATACAAACTAATTTTAGAAAATGCTCTCTTCTTGGAATTGCTTAATTTGGTTCAACTTCAGTACAAAATAGAAAACTAATTATATAAATCTAATGCAATAATTGCTAGTGAGACTAATTAATGGTGTCACTGGTCACTGCTATCACCATTCCATTGTAACAAACACCAACTTCATTGCCGCTGTGATCACCAGCTTCTACCACCATTATATGTAAGACCACTACAAAACGTTGCCATTGCAGGTATTGTTATTGATGTCATCGTCACCCAGATCATAATTGCCACTACCATTGTACTCATTGTTAAACCACCTTCACTTTTGCCTCCTGCCTCACCATTGATCTCAACATCCCACAAACTTAAATAAAGAAGTAGAAGGTGATATTTAGGTGAGGTTGAGATTGAATATTTGGTCTTCAAATTTGATAAGCCGACAGATACTGTATAATATCGTGTCGCGTTGTAGTTTTTTTATTCGGTGTCAACGCGTCGGGTACTAGAAGATCAAGACATTAGTAAGAATCTAGACTAAAGAGTGTTGTAGCTAACGACAGAAGTTAAGAATATGAAGTACAGTAAACACAGGGAAGCGAACAAGTTCCTTCAAAATTTAATCCGGCAATACTCTTCTTATCTACGAACGAACCCATAAACATTGAAAATTAAAAAAACCTTAAATAGGAGACGAGAAAAATGAAGAAGGTCGGTTGGGTTCAATTGGTTTTGACCCAAAGCACATAAACCAAGGTGGTGGTGGTGTTGTTGATGTCAGTGAGCTCCATGAGTCGTGCATCTCCAATGAATTTCTTGGCCGCGCAAAAGCCATCATCGAAGTTGAGCGCATAACTGGAAGGATCATATTGGAACTTGAGGCGCTGCTTGCCCCCATTCTTCAGAGCTTTCTTGAGCGCAGCCCGCACCCTCCAAAACAAGCTCCTGCAACGCTTCTTGCTGTAATCATTCACCCATTCCAAGCGCTCCAACAAACCCATCTCCACAAGATGCAAGCTTTAAGCAATTCAATTAATTTCCTCCAAGACAAGAAGGTGGATGGATGTCTAGAATAAAAACGGGAGAGAGTGGAGAGAGAGGGGGGCTATCATGGTCTTTTCGTAAGTTTCTGAGAACAGCAGCAATGTATGTGCGTGGTGTATGTATGTATATATGTATGTGTTTATCGTGTACTGTAGGGGCTGTGGGGGAGATTGGTGAAAAAGGGTAAAAGGGTGGTGGAGTGATGGGGTTGGAGAAGAGGAAACATAGAAATGGAAAGAGGGTAAATGTTTTGGGTGTTCAAAAGAAGGTGTGCGGTTATGTATAGTTGTTTAGGTTAGGGGGTGGCGTTGGGATGCGAAAATTCCATCTTGCACAATGGTGGGGTTGCTACTTGCACTGGGCAGAGAGCCTCAAAGTCTAACAAGCTCATTTCTCTATCACAATTCAGAATGTTGTTACCACTGCCACACTGTTCCCAATTTTACTAATATTATTCATTCATTGCCCTCTCTCTCCTCCCATTTTTCTCTCCTTAACTATGCCACCATTCTCTCACCTTTTTTCGCACTCTAGGCTTCCACTAACCACACTACACTACCATCTTTCATCCTTCTTCTCTTTTTTCTTTTTCACCGTTCAATTTCGGATTTTCCTCAAAATTTCCTCTCTTCAATGATTAAATTGAATGCTACTGTAAATCTTTCAAAAGCATTTAGGATTTACAATATTATAAGAATTATTTTTAGCTTTTAAAATGCTTTTGGATTTACACTAGATAATAATAAAAAAACTAATCCAAACATAGACCAATTCAATCCCATTTTTGCATTTTCGGTACAATTTACAGTAATTATAGTTTATCATAAAACTTAATTCTTTGAGTGATAAATATCAATAACATCATCCCCAAATATATATATAACATATACTTCATTGTTTCATAATAGAAATTGATGATTAACAATTTAAAAACAACGTAAGGAAAAATAAAATTTTGTCCCACAAATCGTACAATAAATTGCATAACTGCCCCTAGAAGTCTGGTCCACCCAAATAATGCAAATTTGCTCAACACCAGATCTATTGGAATGGTTGGTAAGTTGTTTTATGATCTTTACTTTTATTTGTGTCCGTAACATTAATACAATTGTATTATTTAAAAAAGAAAAAAATTTCATCTTTACTTTTATTTGTATCCATAACATGAGTTTTATATTTTGCACAGCCTTGGATCATTGTCAATTTTCCGTAGCAACAGCAGTCAAAGCAGGTTCCACTGCACTGCAAGGGTTTCTTCTTCTCTACTTGCGAACTAGAGAAAAAAACGGACCAAGAAATAGCAAAAGAAAGGGACATGGCAAGATAGAGTAAAAATGATCAAGTGTGTAATGAAGGTCCATGGTGATCAATCAAATCAAAGTTTCCTTTTTGCTCCTAACTGCTTTGTCTCCCGCACAAGGCAAACCAGAAACCATGTGGCTTTCTCTGATTACCTTCTGCCACCAATCTGATTCTCTCACTTTTTGTCTTCTTCTCTAAAGTCTTTTTTGACTTTTGCTTTATATGCACCACACCACATTTCCTGATTAAATTCCCTCTTGTCTCATTCTGCAGCTCTTATCCTCCTGTCCCTGGTTGTTCTCACTGCCTACTGCCCCCCCTCTGCTGCCTTATGTTATGGTGGGCATACCTTTTGATGACTTGTCATTCTACCAAACTGACCACCTCTTGGAACCCTATGCAAACTCCTCATCTCTTGCTCATCATGTTTGCTACACTCACTCGCTTACACCATCAATTTAATCACAAATCATACCCTAAAGTTTTTAATAACATTCTAATTAGATGATGCTGTAAACTACATGCATTAACTGATTTTATCAAGTAAGACTTTTATTAGTTAACCATTTGCTGTGTTATGGTCCTTCATATGTGTCCCCACATTTTTGTACCCTTTTGTCTATGATCACAGGCTGCAAACAGAGAAGTTGTGTTAATGTTCACATTGAATCCACATGCAGGACCAATTAGTTACGTTCATAAAATAGGGAAACACTCACAACTGTCACAACCCTTCCTATTCATTAACCTTCCCATCCCCATCAGTCTTAGCTGGACTTCTGCGTTAGGTTTGATTCCTCATTTCACAAGCCTTGAAACTGAAAATCAAACCCACACAACAATGGTTTATTTCTTATGCGTGTCCTTTGAAATGTTACATTGCTTTTTATGGCCATTCGTTTTGCAATTTTTAACTAGGAAACAATGTTTTTTCTGTCACAATGTCTTTGTCACCCTTGTTGCTTTGAATGATTCTCGATTCTTGACTGTATTCAGAACAAGCAATTAGTCGTCATCGTGCGTCTTGGGAGCAAGTTCCCAAAAATTGAACAAACGAGGGATTTCTACCGTATGATATTAACCATACAATGTAGGTATTGTTGCTTTCTCTGTTGCCTCTTTTGGTCAAATAGTTATTTCAGAGTGCAGCTGCATATAGTTTACTTACAATCATCAATTGATAACAACAAGAATGGGCCATGGGCTTGAAAGTTGAGTAGAAGAGGAAGCCAATAAGCCACCATGAATGCCCAAATTAACAGAACCGGTAAATGTGAAACACAGAACATGTTATGCTTTGAGTAGCAAAAAAGTTGAAAGAAAAATGAACTCTGTCATGCACATTGCAGAGTTAAAAATGTAAAGGGGCAATCTGTTTTTCACTCTCAAAGTTGCATGCATGCTCTATCTTGTTTAGTTTATTAGCTTACTAGTTTACTAATCACATGCCATAACTTTTTGTTTGTTTTCATGACATTGAAAAAATCAAAATAATGGCACACCAAATCTTCAAAGGTAAAAGCAGATAAAGTAGCGAGATAGCAAAAGCACGCAGTAGTATTAAACCAAAGCATGTGTGTATCATAGAAAAAACCAAAGTGACATTTTTTGATAAGCACACCTAAGCCTATAGCCGAACTAGTGTTTGCTTAATGTGAAAAAAGCATCGGTGACCCACGTTTTTATGTATCATGAAGTGATAATACACTAGTATCCCATTTGGATTTGCTTCCAAGCTACAATCTTTTTAGATGCTTTCCCAGCATGTTCCACTTGGGATTTATTTCTCTCTTTTGTTTCTTTGTGTTTGGCACATTCCCTACTACTAGGTACTGTTATTTTTTATTTCTCTACCCCCCTCTTTCTCCCTTTTGGTTGAACCAAGAGGCAATTATTTCAGTACCATATTACTTTTTTCCCTCGATAAAGGGCAACTTTAGACTTAAAAAGCGAGTCTACTCTTATAAGTCATTCCTAAATTATAGTGGAACTAAACCTTAGAATGATCTTATGCCCAAACATTTTATATCCTCATGTCCATCATCATTTCAACTCACCTTTCTCGTAACAGATACCCCAGCGGCTCTGTTGGAAAAACCAAATTGATGTGTGAGTTGAATAAAATAAACAGAGTAGCACGTATTTGAGATACACAACACTGTTTAGCTACATTCGTCCATGTCTCTTCCTCTCATTGCCGCGCTGCCACCAAAAGAGAGAACACATCTCATCCAAAGAAGTCCTAACCTAAAAATCCACGCCAGAAAGTGATTAGTTTAATAGTTTTTTTTTGTTCAAATCATTTTCACTACATGGGAACCTTGGAAAATCCGGAAAAATAGTAATCTTTGTCGCATTTGCAGAACAGAAAAGACATGACCATGTACAATAACAACCAAATGTTTTATCTGTTACCACAAGAAAATTCATTGATTTCAGCACCACGTGGTCTTCCTAGTCGATGTTCACAAGCCAACTCTTTCGTTTTCTCCGCCAGATTTCCTCTATATCTCTGCCTTACCTTTATATTATTACATTTCCCACTTGCAATTGACACACTAAACTTAGGAATAATTGTTCACTGAAAATATCACTGGTAATAACAAAATCTCCCCAAAACTCCAATGGGCTCACTCCCTTCTCCACCAAGACGAAGAGGCCCACCATCCCCGGAAAATCTTCGTTCCAATCATGTAGTGGTTGCTGTATTTTGCCCTAGAGAACCAACCCCAGGTGTGAGTCTCCCCAATTCAATCGAGCTCTATTACCCATCCTTGAACACATGGACCTCTGTTGGCCCTATTCCCGGCCTAGTTGACGACCAAATCTTAAAGGGATTTGCTATAGTCTCCTTGGGGGACTTTATCTACATAATTGGTGGCCAAATTTGTCATAAAGAAAGGGTTCATGTAACTGATGAATCTGCTGACTACGTTGATGAGGGCATCAAAGTTGTGCAAAATGTTCTGCGCTACAACATTAGAACCAACCAATGGTTCATTTGTGCACCACTAGGGGTGGCAAGGTATGATTTTGCATGCACAGTATGTGAAAACAAAATCTACGTGGCAGGGGGGAAGTCCACAGTGGCATGTGCACGGGGGATCTCATCGGCTGAGGTGTACGAGCCGGATGGTGACACGTGGAGCCCCATGCCAAATTTGCATATTTTAAGGTACAAATGCATTGGTGTGACGTGGCAAGGGAAAGTTTACATAGTGGGGGGGTTTGCTGAGAGAGAAGACTCGGATAAGACAATGCCAAGCATAGTGGAAAGAAGTTCAGCTGAGGTGTATGACACTGAAGCAGGGAAGTGGGACCTCATAGCTGGGATGTGGCAATTGGATGTGCCACCTAATCAGATCGTGGCAGTGAATGGTACCCTTTTCAGCTCAGGGGATTGTTTGAATTCATGGAAGGGGCACATTGAGGCCTATGATGGGAAACTCTGGAACGAGGTTGATGGATCACACAAGAGAAACCTGTGCACATTAGAGGACAACTATGAGAATTGGCCTCTTAATGATCAAAGATTGTACCTAACCATGGCACCAATCGGGACTCGTCTGTTCTTTTTGGCAGGTTACAGGATAGTTGGGGAAGTACCAAGAACTATGTCTGTTGTGCACATGTTTGACACTTCAGCTACCACCGATGCTTGGAGGAGCTTTGAACCAATGGAATTGGAGGGTGAGAAAGAACTGTGTAGCCATTGCTGTGTTGTGCAACTCTCTTGATTCAGTAAAAAAAATAAAAAAAAAGTATAGAATGATTTATGTTTCATTTATAGACTATATATGTTTTTTTTTGGTGGATTATGTACACTATTTATGATATAATCAATGCATAACTTTTTGGCTGATTCACTATATATAACCAATGCACATACCTAGTATTTTAGTTACAAACCAATTTCGGATTTAGATGTTGGTAATCTTCTACTCTGCTTTTTGTTATTGAATTGAATATAACCTGAGCCTCTTAAAAAGACAATTCTAATGCGAAGTGGACTCAGGGCCGATGGTCGGCCCAAAGCTTAAAGATGAGAGAGTGGAGAAAGCCGAAGCCCAATTAAAATGAAAGGGTGGTACTCAAAAGCTTTGACCAGCATGAAAAGAAGAGAAAGGGTGCATCATTCACGTGACCCTGGCATGAGCCACCCACGCTCTCTTGCTTGACCTGATCCTGACCCTTCTGATACTTTCTGACCACACTGTTGGTTACGCAAACACGTTCGCACGTGTCAGCTGCACCTTGCACGCGTGAAGGGTTCACATCACTGTACACTCCTTTTCTTTTTTTGGTACAACACTCTCCCTGCTTTCTCCACCAGGATTTGCTTCTGAAGGCATCTGAGCCGTTGATCATGGGTTTGGGCCTCGAAGGGTCGACATACATGATGGTTCAGATTCTCGAGCATCACACAAAAAAAGAAAGGTTATTAAATTATTGTGGAAAGTATATTATGAAAGTCCTAATAAATTTAATAGAGAGACAAAAAAATTGTTTAATGATAGAAATAGTTGCATATGTTGAGGGAGACAGAATGCATATATTATTAGTGTGTTGCATGTGCTTTTGATTTTGTTTTGTTCATTTGGTACCCCTCTATTCCAATATATACATGCATTTGCATGTTGTAGCTCTACCTGAAGCCTTTAAGTCTGCACCAACACCTTCAATCATCCTTCATCGTCTCATCTTTTACTTTAGCTTAAATACACTTTTAATTATTTTCATTTACCAAGAGATTGACAAAATATTTTTAAATATTAATTATTTTCACACCATATTGGTTTACTTTATGAGCAGATCCAATGAGTTTTTATGGATTATGTTGCTGACTGTTCTAGTATGTTCCACCACACAAAATCTCCTCAATTTTCCTGCTGAGGTCATGTGGTCCCTTCTCTAACCAAATACGATTAATCACAACTTATTATTATTATTATTAGCTTTTTTTATATACTACGAAACTGTTTTTAAAAAATTATAAATGTTTTTGAAAAATATAATTTCTTCATAAATTAAAACTCATTTATGCAAAAAAAAATTAAAAATATAGTAAAACATTATATGCATATATATATATATATATATATATATATATATATATATATATTTCTGTTATTGCATAATAATATTACAAGTTACATTCCTACTTACAACAATAAAAAGAAAATATTATTTCCCCACGTGAATTATATATAATAAGTATTTATTTTATATATCTATAATTTATAAAAAGTTTTAAATATGTAAATTACATTAAATAAAGTGTGATTAATAAATATTATTCAATTTACAAAGCATTTGAAATTTATGATAAATACTTTTTCTTGTATGTTCCACATACAAGCGAGAAAAGTCTATAATATAACAATACAATGTCTACAATATTCTTATATAGTTTTAATTTTAAATCCTCTAAAAAAAACCCATCAATTTCAAATACCTAATTCTCAGCCCTTCACATATTGCTTCTATTATCGATTAAACATTTATTGTCAACAACTCAGCAAGCAATATTTCTTCTCCTCAAAGATCATATTGTTCCTAAAACGCCAAACCACCACATGCAGATTTCTCATCTATACACAAAATTTTAATTGGACTTGGGTTTACGTTCAACCAAATTTCTCTCCGCTGTGAACAATCTCTTAACATGTTCACACTATTTTCAACAGGAATTACTTATTTAATTGTTAAAAAATCTCACAAATATTGCAACTTATTATTAAATATTTTTCTTTCAAATGGATGAATATGTTGATTTTTTTTTCTTTCACCAAGACTTAGATAATATATTAGTGGTTAACTAAAATTTATATGATGTAAGAATTAAACTTACAAACTCACAGCACTGTAAAAACAGACAAGAAAAATAACAAGTGTAAAAGCTAAGACCAATCTCAAAGGAAAAAAGAGCTTTTTTATTATGATTTTATCCAGACAGAAAAACAAAAGACAGGGTGCTAAATCCAAATTCCAAAGTTTATCCTTTTTTTCACCGGCCAGCCACCCCCACATGTTTTGCTTCTTTCTCACTATTGAATGCCCAAATTAACAGTGTTGAGTTGGGAACTACTATAAAGCCAAATCTTAACCTGTAGTAGTGACCGAATTCTTCCCTGGCTGCACTGCACCACTTCTAAATCTCTCTCGACTTCTTTCAATTACAAAAGTTGCTACTCCATAGTGGCTAGTGCTAAAAGCCCAAACGTGAACAGAAGCTACCTTGTCCAGAATGGCTAAACAGAGTTAAGCAAAGCAAAGCAAGGGAAGAATGGTGAGGGAGCATAATAGCATTAGCAGTGGATGGCCACCAATAGGGGCCCCACTAAACGTGCAGAGAGATGAATATGATCAGCATTGGAGCAGCTTCGACAGTTCAGTGAATGCTGTATCTTTTGGCTTTGTTGCCACTGCCATTCTCATTTCCATGTTCTTGGTCATGGCCATCTTTGAGAGGTTCCTCAAACCCACTTCGCCGCCCCTGTTGCCGTCCGGCGATTGGAACCGTCGCCGGAGCTCTCAGATGCCGTTGAATGAGAAGCTTGCCCACCCTTCACCGAAAGTGAGTGCTCAAAAACTCATTTATTCATGGAGTGTGCTCTGTGAGTGTTCACTGTTCATCACAGCTTGATGACAATGTGAAAGCCTTTAACATTTTAACTTTAGGCTCACTTTCCTGTTGTTAATGGTGGACATACAGTGCCTTCCTTGTTGAAGGTTACTGTTTCTTGATTTTCTCATTTCTTCTTTTTGCTTTCTTTCAAGTTTTCCCTTAACTAAGCAGAAAGAGAAAAAATGTAGATTTTTCTCTTTGTTCTTCCGCTTCAGGATGCATTCAATTTGGGTAGTTATTTTGGCTTTTGGACGTGTGATGATTACTTATCTGACATAAGTTTTTTTTTAGCTAATTATTTTGGTTGTTTCTAGGTTGCTTTTTATTTGCTTCTTTTGCTGCTTGAATATCATCACTCCCATAAATTTGCCTTTGTTTCCCATACGATATTAGAATACTGTTTTTTTAACGAGGATTACCTTTTTCTTCTGCTGAGATCCTCTTCTATGGCCAATTGACCAATTCAATATGTTTCTGTTCTGCTCCTCATCATCTATGCCACTGCTATCCTTCTTCAGAATTATACACATTATTGATCTCTAATATAGACCTTCTCTGCATTTTCTTGTTCCACTGGCTCCCATATTCTCATCTAACTCTACGGTCTTCCGTTACAGATTTTCTTGTTAGCCTAAGACTGGAGGGTGATCCTCTTTCATCCTTGAATAGATCTAACCATGGTTATGATTTTCTTCACTTTGGTGAAGAGATACACTAGTACTTTACTGTGTTTTAGCCATGTAGCTCCTCTACATGATATATCCTCAAACTCATCTTCGAAATAAAAAAGGTAAATCTTAATCTGAAATTAGTATCTAACAAAATATTTTTCTCCCTCTTGTTTTTAGGTTATTTGAACTAAAGAACTGTATCATAGCCCCACACCAAGTTTTTCATTTCATTCTCCTTGCATTTACGTGTTCAGTCAAACTCCTTAATTATGACTGGACTTTGTTGTCTGCTGCTTGTTATAAGGACATGGTCCTCTGTAGGAGTTTTCAGTTAACATTGGTCCCTAGCCACGAGTGTTTGGACTTATTTTTCCATCCCTGTGTGGGAGTTTAGACCCACATTGTTGTCTTTGACACTCAACTGCACCATCACCTCCAATCTTTAATGGTACCGTACATGCCCAGTGTTTGTGGTCTGCAATAGATGGTCAACTGAAGTTAATCTTATTTTATGGTCTTCAAATATTTTGCATTGATTGTCTATCCTAGCAGCTACTAATTCAGAAGGTAATCACACAACCTTTCTTAGCCATTGGTCAATAACTTTTTTCATTAGTTTTTTGGAGTTAGCTTTCTGATGATGAGCTAATACCAAGCAACAATTGTGTTGTCTACACTATGCCGTTACTTTGGAGGAACACTCAAGGCCCACCTATTTATCCAACCTCGCTATTATGTTGGAGGGCACCAACTTGATTAGGACATTGCCTGTCGAGTTGTTTCTCTCAACTTTAACAAAATTATTAATGTGATTCCACCAGCATTAGCCAATGAAGTTTTAAATGCAAAATGCCACAAATAATATAAAATTGAATGCACCATTTGTTTGCCATTTGGATTACATTGGGAATTTCATTGTGGTGTTGTTAATGGAACACAGAATATGGGATTTTAGAGAAAATGCTTTTGCAATTAGGCAGAAGTCAGGGATCCTTTTTATTGTTTAGGGCAATGATGCCACTCAGGCACTCTAAGACCACGTGAGTATGATTTTTCTTATTAATGAAGTTACCTGGTCGTATAAAGTCACTTCAACATCACAGCAAGAGATTATGCCGTGTGGGAAAATATATTAGAGCCAAGGATAGGAAGATTGATTTGGATTCTTGAATAGCTAATTGTAAAACCAAGTCATCTAAAATCTACCTGGGACATGGAGTATTTGCCTTTTTCAATATCTTGAGGCTCTATTAATTTAAGTTAACCAACTTCAATTTTTAAGAGTTCAAGACTTAAACATAAGCTTTTTCTTTTCAATCCAAAGGCCTATCTTGTTTGTTTTTTTTTGGATCAATAATGTGTTAATATCTATCTGGGTGAACACACTTAATCTCCTTTATTTTATGCTGTGTGTTAAAAGTCAAATATAAGATACGATGTTGGTTGTTGTTTGATGCCTTATACAACATGTCCAGAATGAAAGAAAAGAGAAATAGCAATACCGGGTTCGATGAATGTGTTGTCTCTGTTATTTGTTTTATTTCATTCTATACTTTAGTGTGGTCCATCTTGAGAAGATTCCGAGTACAATGTAAATCTTATATTTTTTTAGCTTTAACTCCTTTGGTGATTGATGGAATGCGGATCACTAGCCTGACCTTGGTTCGTGAGTTTAGTATCAGATGCAAATGATTTAGCACCACAATTCTGTTAAATCATTGTTTCTGTTAATGATGGTTAGTTTAGGGGGCTCAACAGTGTTTTAGCTTTACAAATTTATAAAGTAAAATATGATTTTTTTTTAGTTATTATTGCAAATGAAACATTTAATTTTCTATTCCTACCTGTGTGGTCGCCTTACACTGTCTTAAAATGGTGGTCTTCTCCTCACCCTAACTCTGTTACTAAGGAACATTCTGATTATATCTTGCTGATATTTTACTGTTTTCCTTTTTACCAGCCGGGTTCTCTTAAAAAGGTCTTAATGTTTGCTTATTTTGTTGAACATAAAGTGGGAATAGAAATGCAGTAGCTGTTGCTTTACCATGTTGATGATTGCAAGCATTCAATTGCTTGACCTTAGAAGAAGTCTTGTGGTTTTCAACAAGACATTTAATGCTATTGCCTTCAATTTGCAATGTGATGTTGAAAGCAATGAGTTTAGGAACTTTGAGAAAATACAGTAGCATTTGTTGCTTTTCTCCCAAGTTTGCAGTGGACAATGATTTGTCAAGCCCTTTCTTGATTGATTTCTGGTCCACTTTTGGTGTAAAATAACTCCTTTATTAACTATGCTGGATATCACAATGCAATTCTAAACCTTAAAATCAATGTTGTTCTAAATTAACTCTCTAGTTGATATCTCATCAATTCAGTGAATTCACCAGGTTCTCTAATTTATACAGATGAGTTTGTACGCTAGCTGGGTTTCAGTTTTAATGCCTGGAGATGAGACTCCTTCTTTCATTGCACATCCTGTCCCTGCACCATGTTGCCCTGAAGGGATATCATGGCCTTCCCATCAACATACCTCATTACCTTATTCCACATACAACACCATGCCTGGTATCAGCCAAGTATAAGAGAATTCACTATGACATGGTGATCAAGGAGTTAATGAATTTTATGTGAAGAAAATAGACTCGTTATGTAGAAGCTGTCTCTATAGTTCATAGTATATATATATACCATGTACATAGAATTTAGTTTAGTGCAAATTGGTTTGGCAATGAGGTCCATCTATTATCCGCTCAAAAGTTCCGCCCTAATTGAATTTGGGTTCCCCATGGTGTAAATCAGTGGTTGTAAATGCATGGAACGTTGTGCTCCAAATCATGGAAACTTCTTTATCTTGCACAAAAACAAGACCGTACTTAGTATCGCATGATAAAATGCACGCGTAAAATCAAATAATATTGTCACACTAATAATGACACGTGAATAACCTTTACCATAATTATCTTGTTTGGTCTTTGGACCCAAAACGATATGGAGCTCTGGGTTTTGTAGCAATGATTATGTTGCCGAAATTCTTGGGTTTATGATAGCAATGGGTTTCACTTAGAAGGTAATAATGAATGCTTCAAAATCTCAGCGTATATCATGCTGCAATTTATAGTACACGCTCTAAATAGCTCCACCCTGTAAATTAAATAATCAAAACCAATATAATGTGGCACGAGATAATTGACTTTCTTTAATAAGGATAATAATAATAATAATGGGTGTATCTCTTAAATAGATCTTAATAACAGATCAGTCTTTGATTCTAGAAACTGAGTTTAAAAAAAAAAAACTAATAAAGAAAAATGATTATTCTTTTTATACTAATCTTCCGTATTGGATCGATCACGGGTCAATTTCAAATATGATTGCACTTTGTTGGTGTCCACAAATGACAACAACCTAGAGATTCTATTTGTTTGTATTAGGTCTTTTCAATTGGGCCTGCAACATAAACCTACATTTTGGATTGACTATTGCTTCCCACATTCCGATGATTAAATTAAATTTCATTTTAGAAGGAACAAGAAAATTATAAATTAAAAAAAATGTTCAAAAGTAATTTTAGAATATATTTCTGGAATTGATTTTCCATATATCCATATGTATTCTAAAATATATTTTTAAAATTGATTTTTCAGATATACATATCTGATATGATGTTTTGGATCTGAACATCATTCTTGGGACATTGTCTTGGATTGAACAATTTTTTGTTTCTTTAAATAATTTGAATGTAGGAACCCTACTTCATACATAATATTAACAATTATTTATCTTTAATTGTTAGAAAATATTTTTAATAGAGATGATATAATAAAAAAATTAAAGAACTAAGGGATAAAGGTGTATAAGTTGAATATAAATAAAAAATATAAAGAAATTAGGGTAAAAAATAAAATGATAAGAAGAATATTTTGAGTATAATAGAAAAGCCTTATAATTATGGTTTAAACACCACATAATTAGCTTAACAGAATGGTAGAACAGCAGAAAAATCTTTTTCTGTTATTACTTTTAGTGAACATTTTAGAGCAACAATGAGTTGTCAGTAGATAGTAGAGTTGCCTTTGTCCTCAAAGGTTTTAGTTCATACAAATTCCTTTGTACAAACTATATATATATGATGTAATAATTGAGAATCAATATACAAAAATTTATGCAAATTGTCTTTTCTCCTTTTTTTCCTATTATGGTATCGAGAGCCCTCCAACGGTTCAAGCTTTTCTAGCTTACCTCTCTCATAGCCAATTCATGCTCCTCTTGAAATGAGGAAGAAGAAATTTCACCTCCTCCTCCCTTTGTTGATCCTAGCCAAAATCCTTCAAGCCCCTTCTACATACACCCAAGTGAGAGTCCTTCATCTGTTGTGGTTTCTCCACCTCTCTCTGCCAACAATTTTCAATCATGGTCCCATTCCTTCCGAATGGTCCTTATTTCTAAAAACAAGATGGGCTTTTTTAATGGCACCATCCTCATCCCAAAAACCACCAATTCCTTATACCCCTCTTGGGAAAGATGTGACACTCTATTAATGTCATGGATTCTCATTTTCCTTTCTCTTTCAATTGCTCATAGTGTTATGTTTTTTGAACGAGCCACTGATGTATGGACTGACCTTCACGAAATCTATTCTCTCAAACAAGGTGCGCTCTCCGTCACCGACTACTACACCTCTCTAAAATCACTCTGGGAAGAGTTGGACAACTACCGAACACTAACCCCCTGTTCTTGCTCTGCTCGCATCTACCATTCACAGTCATCCCTTTTCTGAAAGGACTTGACGATCGCTTCGCCATGGTTCGCTCACAAATCCTATTACTTGACCCTCTTCCCTCTGTTAATCGTGTTTTCTCCATGATAATCCAACATGAGCGCCAACATCATAACCCATCTTCTTCTTCCATGGAAACTAATCCCTTTATCAATGTTGTCTTTGGTAAAGGTCGAGGCCGCCTCGGACACACTATTAATTCGTGCTTCAAGAAAAACAACATCACTTGGACAAAGTGCATCTATTGCGATTGTGTTGGGCATAGCAACGATGTGTGTTATACCAAGTTTGACTATCCTCCTGGACATCCCAAATATCCAGGAAAGTCACGCTTCTTCAACAACAAGAACACCTTTCACAACGGCAGGAGGCACTGTGAACAACGTTGTTGCCCCTTCCTCTTCAGAAGTTGTGCTAGCCCAAAAAGGAGAAAGGAAAGACACTTCAACTCTGGGCCAAGGTCTTCACATTACTATGGCCCAATTCTAACAACTAATGAGTCTTCTAAACAAAGCTTCCAGATCTGGTGGGGAAAACTCAGAAATCTCTTCAAAGGTCAATCTCTCTCACTCAAGCCCAAACCAATCTCATAACTCCGGTTTTGGCAGTAGGTTTATCTTTTCCATTAACGCCACACCATGGATAATCGATTCCAGAGCCACTGATCACATAACAACTTCACTAGATATTTTTTAAAATATTCTGAAATCAAGCCATTAAACATCAATTTACCAAATGGGTCTATATATTCGAAAGCATAAAATTCTCTCCGGATTTCATTATTCATGACGTTCTTTATTTCCAAACTTTAACTTCAATTTATTATCTCTTCCTAAAATATTAACTACTGCTCCTTGCCGTATAATTTTTTCAAATGAGTCGTCTAATATCCTTTGTCAAATACAGGACATAAACACATTGAGGATGATTGGTTCAACTAATTTAAAGGAATGACTTTTTCACTTGGCAATCGGAAAGGAAAGGAGCCCATCTACCAATAATGTTATTGCCACCATCATCAATAACTCCAACCTTTGGCACTTTAGATTAGCACATTTATCTAGTACCCGTCTTAATATCTTGAATCAACAATTTCCTTTTATTTCAAAGGGTTCTAATGAAATATGTAACATTTGCCATTTAGCTAAACAAAAGAAGTTGCCATTTCAAAGGGTTCTAAGATTTTTTATTTGATTCAGATGGATATTTGGGACCCTTTTTCTAAAATATCTATTCATGGGCTCAAATATTTTCTCCCTATACTTGATGATTTTAGTAGATACACATGGGTTGTTTTGTTAAAATAAAAAAGTGAAGTAAAAACACATATACAAAATTTTATTAACTTGGTTGAAAATCAATTTGAAACCAAAATAAAATGTATCCGATCTCACAATGGACCGATTTTACACACTTCAACAAAATAGAAGAGTGAAACGCAAACATTATCACATTATCAATGTTGCAGGGACCATCATTTTTCAATCCAAAATTCCATCAAATTTTTGGTCCTATGCTATGAAATATGTCGTTTTTCTCATTAACCGCGTTCCCTCACGCATCATTTCCTCTAAAACGCCTTTTGAACTTCTAAATAAAGTTACACCCGATTTTTCCATGATCAAAATCTTGAGTTGTTTATTTATGCATCCACTCACAATCAAATTCATAAATTTGAACCTCGATCTAGAAAAGGTGTTTTTTGGGGTTTTTAAAACGGTACAAAAGGATATGTTATTCTAGATGTAAATACAAGAGAAACATTCATTTCTAGAAATGTTGTCTTCCATGAAACAGTTTTTCCTTTCCACACACCTCCATCACTCTCTACACCCATAACCCAACACAGCCTATCCACATAACCAAATCCAGATTCTCCAAACACACCACCCTTTCTTTATGAAAGAACTTCCACACCACTCAGAAAGACCTCAGAAATTCAAAGGTCCAACCCCAACACGCCTTCACCTTCACTCGAACGAAGCTTCTCTCTTTTTCCTAAAACCGCAACACCCAACCCTAACTCCACTTTACCAGAAATCCAAGCCCGCCACACACCGTCCCCAATTGTCGTGGCACCTTCGCGCCGTTCAGAACGCGACACCCATCCTCCTCCATACCTTTCCGAATATCAGTACAAGCTTCCTTCCCTTAAGTCCGCACAATCATCCACAAGGTGCTCACATCCAATTCAAAGCTTTCTTTCATACACTAATGTCTCTCCTTCCCATCATCGTTTTCTCATGGCCATATCTTCTAAGCGTGAGTCCGCCAGTTTCTACGAAGCAGCAAAGCACCAGTGTTGGTGTGACGCCATGCAATATGAAATCAAAGCCCTCGAGTTGAATCACACTTGGGATGTGGTCGAGACTCCTTACTATGTTCGACCCATAGGTTGCAAGTGGGTAT